TTGAAAGGTTAAATCAAAGTGAAGGAGTCCAGGGAAATGATGGAATTAATCAAGGCCCCCGAGCTGGGAATCCTGCCTTAGGCAGAATCACCCGGGATAGGCTGGGCTACTGACTGCAAGCGGAAGTTTACACCATGTGGGCAGCACAGCCCATTTTCTACTTTTCACCCAGGTGTGGTGGCAGATGTTTGGCATCACCAAGCAAAACATCCCTGTGACCAAACTGTTTACATTTCATTAGGGTTTCCCTCAGGAAGGCGCACCCCTGCTGATGAGCATCTTAATGACAATTAGAAGCTCTATTCATCCCTAAGGGCTTCCAAATTAGCACCACCCCACGACAGGACTCAGTGAAAGCTATTCCTCCTCCCGAAGCCCAAAATCATCTCTGGGAAATCAAAATCCACACCCAGTCCTTCCAGAGTGCTTTCGACCAAGAAAATCATCCCTGAACTTTTAATAGAAACAGATTCGGCAGTCAGTATAAGCGGCGAATGGATTTTTTTTCTCTAGTAAACCAGAGCCTTTTCTCTTCCTAACAGCGCTAGGGGATGAATGATAAAAGAGCAAGGACCTATTTTATCTACAGAGGTGTGGGGCTGGAAATGGGTGCGGGCTGAATCCAGGGGCTCCATCACCCCCTCAAGGGATGCATGTTAAAAGTGAGGCCCAAGACCCCAGAGAGTTTAATCAACTTTGCCCCTCCAACCTTCAAAGAATGAATCAGTTGTCTCCACAGGCGCAGCGGGCTCTTCCCTCTCATTGTGTACGGGCTCAGACCCAGCGAGGATCCAAGCAAGCTTCCCGCAGAGAACTAAGACGCTCGGGCTGTAGGGGTAGTCTTTCTCTAACTGTTGCGATTGTCTTTGGAGATTACCAAAATCGAGTATGCAGTAGATGGTTTCCCCCGCTCCACGCCTTGCTTCACGCACACACACACACACACACACACACACACACACACACACACACACGTGTGCATACCCAGAACGCTTTAGAGCAGCCTCTGACAGCACATTTTGCACAAAGTGGCAGCGGCGGCGGGGAAGCACACACTTTGGCCTGCATGGCTACCCTCTAGAAGGTCCGAGGACCGGATGGTGGAGATGCAAGGCCGCGGGAGTCCCAGGAGCACAGGCTTTTGTTTGCGCGGGTTCGCGGACAGCCTGGCCCTGGCAGGCACCATTGAAAACGCGCACTCCCTCCAGGACCTAGGGGATAGACAGCCCAGGAGCCAACTTGGGGCGCACTAGGAGTCCAGGGAGAGATGGGCAGACGACCAGCATCACCCCCTTGACCCCCAAGTCCATCCCACTCCTCCTGTCAGCGCTGACAACTTCAGCTAGGAGCCGAGGAACCAAGTCTCAGGACGCACCCCAGCCTGCAGCGGGGCTCCGGGGCCAGTCGAGGCCAGTCTCCCCCCGGCGGCCCCGACGCGCTGCCGGTGGCCGGCTGCCCTGCTCCGGGGCGGACCAGGCACTGGCGGGGCGCCCAGCTTTGCGCGACGGAGCCAGTGCGCGGGCGAGGGGCCGGGAAGACGCGGGAGCCGCTTACCTTGGGCAGCAGCCCCGCTCGCGGCCAGCAGCAGCGCGGCCAGCAGCGCCAGTGGCGGCGGGCGCGGGCGCGTCCCGCGGCGCGGCCGGTGCATTCCTCCTCTCGCGGCGGCGGCGGCTCTCCGGCGGCGCGCAGAACATCCACGGGCTCGCCCCGGGCTCCTGGCCACCTCGTCTCGGCCGCTGGCGCTCGCGGGACGCCGGGGGCCTTTGCACAGCTCTTTGTCCCTCTGACCCGCTCCCTCGCCTGCGCCCGGCCGCCTCCGGACCCCGAGCTCCGTTCCGCCCCAGCCCTCCGGCTGCAGCCTCGCCTCGGCCGGCCGTTCAGTCCCCGACTGTCCGGGTCGCTCTAGCGGACGGGGTGTCCCCCTCTAGGACTTGCGAAGAACGTGCCGGGTGCCCGGGGCTGTGGTCTCGGGGCTCCCTCGGTGGCGGCTCCTCCCGCTCTCGGCGATCGCTCTTCTCGCCCAACTTGTCACTTTCCACCAACTCTACAGCCCTGCGCCCCAGCCCGGACCAATGGCAGGCGCGCGCCCAGGCCGGCGACCCAGCGCCCTCTGCTGCCGCCTCTCGGGCCCGCAGCCTTCGGTGCTCCCCTGAAAGCGTTGGCCGCTCCCGGCGCAAGGCCACCTTCCTCCCCTCCCCCTAAACCCAGACTTGGACCCCGCCACCAAAATGATGGGCCCGTTGATAGAAAGGGAAACCGAGGCCCGGAGAGACTTTTTCGGGGTCTCATCCCAGTTTCTGGTTGAATAACTTAGCTTCTAACGGTCTCGGGCCCTGTCACTGATGGCTGGGACCCTTGGTGATAGAGCATTTATAGATAAACAATATCCCCTTTGATTTCTTCCTTCCCCTGAGAGATGATGAAGAGAGTTCTTACACAAGTTACTTATGTGTTCTTTTGTTTTTATTCACATTGACATCAAGGCCATCTTCTGCTTCCATTGGGAGGTTAACAGAATTCCTCTGGAGCTCTTGAAAGGTGTTTCTCTGTGCAGAGTATGAACAGACTGTATCTATTTGGTCTTTATACTTATCATGACTTCGACATTTTAGCGTACTGCTCTGCCCTGGGATGAGGGTCTTCAAAGTCTTCTTCTATGAGTGTTTTTATCCATTTCTCCTGGTTCACCATCATGAGTTTTGTAATTCATAAATGTTCTTCAGGGTGTCCCTGTGGAGAGCAGCCTGGGTCACATAATGTGGTGAGTATCTGCTGCACTTCAGACCCTGCCTTAGGTTCCAAGGATGCAAGAGTAATTAGGAACACCTGTCAGTCTTGTACCAGGGTAACACAAAGAAACCCAGAACTAGTGAATGATCACCTGGCTGTTTACTAAATATCTCCTTCCATGGCCCACTGACACTTTTTTAAAGTCATTAAAAAAATTGCATACCTCTTTGCTCTTTTAAGTATGTCATTTCCCATATTACATATTTTAGAGGTTGACCCACAGAAAGAAAGTGAATGATTTTGTCCACACTCACTGTGGACCATGGGTGGCAGAGTCGGCATTCAGACCCTTTCCTGTTAGGAGATAAAAGTTCTTAACCCAAGCCTGGCGTGTCGCAAGCTCTCAGTAAGTGGGGGTTGGAAAGATCGCTGCTGCTGTGGCCTCTAAGACTCAGCTTTAGGATTTTACAATGAGCTTAAACTTCACTGGGGACAAAGACTTTGTTTCAATTGTCTAGGTGTCCTGAGTGTCTCAAACAGCAACTGGAAGACAATCTGTAAACAAGGATAAGACCCCCATTTGGAGAACATTTTCTCTCTAATTAGTTTCTTGGCATATTTGTTCTGGGGGCATGCTATACTCCTTGGTACCAACAAGGCAGGCCTCTGAGCACAGAAACATGAGGGTGGCACAAATATGTCCCAGCAGGTCATAGATTCTAACTCCCAGTCCTATGCCTTCAGGCAGGTGAACAACCAGCCTTGTGGGATGAACAATCACTTACTGTTTTCCAAGACTTACGGGCAAAAGCCTCCCTGGCTGCCTTAATAGATTTCCCTCTTTCTGTGGCTCTGACCTGAGGTCAGAGAATGATAGGCAGTGGGGTCTTGGGTCAACCAGTTCATCCCCCAAACTGGTATATCCTTCAATTCTCTCTGCCTGAGACCCACTCAGTCCTGTTTGAATTATCTCCAATCACTTGCCTGGGGAACTTAGTACATAAAGTTCTGTTGTTGGGAAAGTGTCTTTGATGGTTGGCCTTAGTACACTAGGGCCTAGAAGTCAAAGGAAATTCAGTTATCCTGCCCCCAGTTATCTAGCCCTCCCTCCATTTATGGTGTAACATGTCATCAGCAGACAAGTCGCCTTTCCTGTCCATTCACCTGCCCTCGGCCCCCAGCCCCCACCTGGCCAGGTATCTTAGGAACAGACAGCTGCCACTACTGAGTATACAGAATTTAATGGCATTTTTATCAGCACTTAAATCGTCCAGAAACTTAATCACAGAATCATAGACATGAGGAATGTGAGAGCTGGAAGGGACCTTAGAAGTTAACTAGTACACCCTCCTGGACATTTTATACAGGAGAAGCATGACAGAGAGGTGAGACTTCTCTGCCCAAGGTCACCAAGCTGGCTAAAATCCAAACTGGAACTTAGGGGAACCAGTCCAAGACTCTAGCCCGTATGGGTCTCTCTCTACTCCATGTACTCCTGCCTCACATCCTGTGGCAGGCTAGGAGAAAGACTGCAAGCAAAGGAAATGTTCCTCTTGCAGGCCTCCTTCCTATCCTGCCCTCACCTTTTCCAGGCCAGCATTGACACAAGCAAATTAGAAAATGCATGTGATACTGTTCTCCTCACCCAGTCCCAGCTCGAGCTCTGAGATACCACTGGGCACCTGACACCTAGTGGGGCATTCATCTGCCCTAGGCTCCCCTATTAGGCCACATGTAGCTCAGGTCATTGTCACTGTGGACACTCAAGACTATAGCCATGGGGAGGGCTTTAGGAAGAAATGAGGAGGAGGGGAACATTAGCAAAGCAGGTAAGGCACCATAGAAAGCATTTAAAGAAAGCTAGCCTATATTTCATGAAGCTGTTGAACAAGAAACCTGTGTGACTTAGTCCACAAATACTATCACTGATTATTCTTCTCAAAATGTGTAGCTTGACAGTTATAAGGAAGGACTCGGGAACCAGGTGGTATAGATTTCAATTCTGGCTCTGCTCTTATTGCCTGTGAGAACTTGCGTCACAGTTACTTCAGTTTCCTCATCAGTGAAGAAGTATAAGAGTAATCTCTACCAACTGGCTGTGTTCTGAAAATTAAATTCATTAATACCTCTCAGAAGTTTAGTGCAATGCTTGTCATAGACTAAGCAGCCAGCATGTAGTAGCTGTTTTATTAGTGATAATAAAGAATATTAATTAGTGATAATTAAGAATATGGGCCAGGCATGGTAGCACAGGACTTTAATTCCAGAAAGCAGAGGCAAGTGGATCTCCGTGAGTTTGAGGCCAGCCTGGTCTACATAGAGAGTTCTGGGCCAACCAGAAGAGATCCTGTCTTAAAACAACAACAGCAAATCAAAATTATTGGTTTTTAGACAGACCTAACTAGATGGCCTGAACAAAGTATTTAACTTCCTTATGATATAACCTTCTCTTCCACATTAAAAATGGAGATAATAATATAGCCAACTGTATAAATCATTTTAGCACAAATATTTTATAAAATCTTAACATGTTGGTGTTCTGGTTGGTACTTAATAAATTATTACTATTTTTTGCCTCTAAACTCCTACACTATGAGATGGGACAAGTGGGTAAATTTGGCCACCATACAGCCTGAATTTCTAATACAATCTTGATTTCATATATTTTTTATTCCCTGTTCACTTGTACATGAGTAGAAAAGAAGATGAAAGACAAAATATTGTCATCAGAAACACATAAACAAGAAATGGGGGGAGTGCAGGGCTGGGAAGATGGCTCATTGGGTAAGAGCACTCGCTGTGCAACCATGAGGACCTGAGTTTCAATCCCCAGCAACCACGTAAGAAGCCGGGCATGGCTGCACAAGCCTGTAATCCAAGCACTGGGGGAAGAAGACAGGCAGATCCCAAGAGCTCACTAGCCAGCCAGACTAGGCAAAGTGGGGAGATTTTTGTTCAGTGAGAAACCCTATCTCAAAGCAATAAAGTAGAAAGCAATAGAAGAAGACACCTGACCTGCTCTGGCCTCCACATGTGCACATACTCATGTACATGTGCTGCACACATACAACACACACACACACACACACACACACACACACAAAACTCAACACATGCAAGAAAAAAAGAAATCAAGAACTCTAAAGCATTATTAATAAAGCTAGTACTGAGCAAGTATAGATCATAGCACTTTTGAAGGCTTAGGAGAAAACCTTAGTGATCTTCCATTTGGCAAGAGTTTCTTATTTACAAAAGTTATGAACTTTAAAATTTTTAAAAAGTGACAAATGTGTTTTCCAAAAGACATTTTTGGGACTAGACAGATGGATCAATGGTTAGGGCTAATCTTTTCAGAGGAACAGACTTCAGGGGATGTGATACCCACTTCTGGCTTTGAAGGGCATCTACACACCACACATGTATGTACACACACACAAATAAATTATAAAATGAATCATTTTTGAAAACGACATTATTATGAATATAAAAAGCTAAGCCACAGGTTAGAGGTAAATAAATACAAAACATCTCTGTTAAGTGTGTCCATGCTTGCAATCCCCACAGAGGCCGGAAGAGGCTGTCAGAGCCTTTGGAATTGAAGTTACTAACCACCATGTAGGTGTTGGTCACCGAACCTGGGTCCAGTGGAAGAGTAGTCAGTGCTTTTAACTAAAGAGACATCTCTCCAACCCTGATAACTACATTTAAAATGTGTGTGTGTGTGTGTGTGTTACATAAATCCATTTATACAAAATTCTAGAAAATGTAAACTAGTCTATAGGGATAGAAAAACAGATCAGTGTTTACCTGAGGTAAGGGAAAGGAAGGAAGAATGACAAATGGGCATTAAGACATTTGTTATATTGATTGTGATGATGGTTTCATAAGTAAGTGTATACATGTGTCATTACTCATAGTAGAAGTCTGGGTCCAATCAGGTGATAGAACCCACACAGTAGATTTAGCAGAAGTTTTCATTATTAACTTTAATTTATAAAAAGAATAGCCATCAATGTAAGAAAACTATATGGTACCATAGGGCAGAGGGAAATCACTCCATGACAGATTTGGAAAGGGGTCAGACTTCATTGGAGAAGATACGATTCAATCCCCTGGACAGCAGGGAATATTGCTGGTCTCAACAATCTGAAAAAGCTATAGGAACCCTTCCAGAGTTTAGGCAAGAGAGCAGCAGCAAAGACATGGGCATAGAGTAGAACTCTGAGCACTGGGGTGGGCAGGAGGCCTTCAGGACATGTGGAGGGGCTGTGCAGTGGCCCAGCAGCTAGCTCTACACTACTTCTCCTACCTTGCAGACCACAGGTAGGCTGTGAGGACTCACAGAAGGAGCAGCTGTTGG